TGTTGTGCCCCTTTGTTGCTAATCTTATTGGACTTGAGATTCAGTGTTGTCATGGTCTGTTTGTAATCAATGGCAGTATTAATACCGAGTATTTTCAGATTATTCAAAAGCTAGTTACCTGATTCTTGGTTAATCTCTCTGCAATGTGTTGTGGCCCTATGTTGCTCATCTTATTCGACCGGAGATCCTGTGCTGTCAAGGTCTGTTTGTAACCAATGGTAGTATTAATACTGAGTATTTCCGGATTTTTCAAAATCGAGTTACCTGATTGTTTATTAGTGCCTCTGCTACGTGTTGTGCCCCTGTCTCGCTAATCTGATTTTCAGCGAGATCCAGCGCTCTCAAGGTCTGTTTGTAATCAATGGGAGTATTAATTCTGAGTANGTTGTGCCCCTGTCTCGCTAATCTTATTTTAATCGAGATTCAGCGCTGTCAAGGTCTGTTTGTAATCAATGGGAGTATTAATACTGAGTATTTCCAGATTTTTCAAAAGCTAGTTACCTGATTTTTGGTTAGTGCTTCGGCGATATGTTGTGCCCCTGTCTCGCTAATCTGATTTTCAGCGAGATCTAGCGCTGTCAAGGTCTGTTTGTAATCAATGGGAGTATTAATACTGAGTATTTTTAGATTATTCAAAAGCTAGTTACCTGATTCTTGGTTAATGCATCTGCAATGTGTTGTGCCCCTATGTTGCTAATCTTATTCGACCGGAGATCCAGTGCTGTCAAGGTCTGTTTGCAACAAAGGCAGGATTGATGTTGAGTATATTCAGAATGTTTCAAGCATAACTACCTGATTCTCGGTTAGTGTATCTGCGATATGTTTTGCCCCTGTGTCGCTAATCTTATTCGTCCGGAGATCCAGTGTTGTCAGGGTCTGTTTGAAACCAATGGCAGTATTAATACTGAGTATTTCGAGATTTTTCAAAATCTAGTTACCCGATTCTTGATTAGTGCTTCTGCGATATGTTGCGCCCCTGTCTCGTTAATCTGATTGTGCTCGAGATTCAGTGTTGTCAGGGTCTATTTGTAACCAATGGGAGTATTAATGCTGAGTATTTTCAAAAGGAAATTACCTGATTTTTTATTAGTGCTTCAGTGATATGCTGTACGCCTGTGTCACCAATCTGATTGTGGCCGAGATTGAGTGTTGTAAGGATCTGTGTTAAAGTGGAAGAACTATAGTTAGAAATATTTCGAAAGATGTATGAAGCAATCTGACGTTATTGTGCTTTAGAGTTGCTGAGAGATGCATTGCACCCCGATCAGTGATAGTGTTGTTGCATATGTGCAGTATTTTTAAAACCTATGTGGATATTAATAATTTTATGTATTTAGAATTTGGAATAAATGATAGACTGTTACTTGATTAATTCTAGTTGTATTAGAAAGATAAGCTGCCTGTTTTGGTGCTAGTTGTCGCAGACGATCAATGAGTTTGTTTTGTTCCTGACATATAAGATTGTTGATTAGTAGAATAATATTATGTTGTTTATACTTCGTTTTGGCATAGTGCTTCAGCTAGGTATTGAGTTCCTTCATCGCCAATCTGGTTATGAGAAATGTTTAGCTCGATGAGTGTCTGGATTTCAAATAGAATAAGTGTAGTCGAAAGTAGACGACGAGGTTAATTTTATTGTTACTTGGTTATTGCGTAGAGCTCTCGCGATTTGTCGTGCCCCTTTCAGTCCGATGCGATTTTTCTCCAGGTTCAGTTCTCTTAGTGTCTGTGTGACAAATAATGAAGATGAAACGTTTTAGAGATGATTTCGATGAAAGTTGTTTTACCGTGTTCCCTTGTAGAATATCAGCAACATGTTGTACTTTGTCGTCATCGATATTGTGCGTAGTCAAATCGAGTTTGATCAAAGTCTTTGTGAAGAAAAATTTAGTGTTGACTTTGAGCCGGTCATAATAAGGAGCAAGTGATAATCAATATTTACGTTCAGGATGTAATTATATAACCCTTTATGTTTGCTAGCACACATTGTACAAGGCTTATTGATACAATGTATCTGTAGATCTTAAAGTCTATCGATTATCTGCTTAATTCGGTGAGGTGTTGGATGCCCGTAAAGAAGTTTCTTTGTCAGATAGATACTATGCACGACATAGAGCATACCGGTTCATTTTGATTATGCGAGGTATGAGTGCGATAGATAGTAAAATTCTATTTTGGCAAAAAATATTTTACTACTAGTTGAGTAGAGTTTTGTTTACACTTTGGTTGTTTTTGTTACTCTATAGCCGCTGGATAGTCGAGGGAAAATTGGTTTATGAAATTTTGTATTTGATCAAAACGAAAAGTAGCGAAATCAATCGAAAAATCTTAGAGATGCAAATAGTTTTGTCAAAATGTAACGTATGATGGTTAAATGGGCAAAAACTCTTTCCACCTTTGGCGCATCGATATATGCTTGGGTGAATAAATAGATAGTTTGTATGGTTATGTGTTTTACATAAAGACAAAGAATGTTTAAAATGTTCAAACATTTTGTTTTATTTGATTGCTTCATCAAATTGATTTAACTAAGAAAAGTACACAGGGAGTTTCTTCATGTTTTTATAACTACGTTAGGGTGTATATAAACTTAAATCATCTGCTAAAATAGCAGTTTGCTCGGTGAAAATGGCTTAATTCGTGCTATGCGAGAGATATTACTGGAAAAAATTGAATATAAATGTTTACACGAGCCATCACTATTTATTAGCATGAAATTGATGAGTATCAGTTTTTAAATTTGATCATAAGGAAGAATATAGGAAATATAGGGTTAGCACTTTTTTAAAACCTAATAGACACATACGAAATTAGTTCAAAATTCAAGTATCGGTACACACATCACTATGGGAAATATGTTTGTCTTTTCTTTCCGTAATTCCTATGTAGAGTAATATCTATCATTAAATAGAAGAAGCACAACAATAATAGGGAGCAAGATATCGTGCAGGTAGTAGTTTCATGTGATTGCTACGTCAAAAATGTTCCTTATTTTTGAACTTATCTTATATCCTTTCATTGGAATATGTAAGACTTCTAACCTGATCATGAATATATTTACCAAGACCAGGTAAATGGTTATTACAAAAACTACAAGTTATCGTTGTCGTCGTTGTCGAAGGATTTTCGTTAAACAAAGGATCATCTACAATAGTGTCTGTGCTCGATTGTACCGGACTCTCAGTTGTATTTTGAATGATAGTCTCCTACAAAAAATATACCATTCGATTTCAATAATACACGTTCGTCAAATTATCATTTTTAGATATTGTTTACAAACTATTTTTGTCTACTATGAGAAAAAGCAGTACAATTATTGAAATAAATCTTCAAATTAGAAATGATTTTTCCTTACATTTTTATTAATTTATTCATATTACTCAGTTTAAATGTAGAATGATATTTACGTTTTAGTGCCATCACTACTGTACTACTAAAAAAGTTTAAACAATTTCAATTCAACATACCGTTTCATTTTCGGCGCTTTTGTTTTTAATACTATTCGAACTAGATATTAATATTAAATATTGGCAGATGAAATAAACAAAAGTCTAAGATTATACCTGATTATTGATCGTGGATGTAACTCTAACAATGATTCTTTCAACATTTTGAATGTTGGGCGAATATCAGGCTGTTGATGCCAACACTGAACAATTATATTCCATAGTTTTTCATCACAGTTCTCAGGTTGGCTCAAGATTTCTCCTTTGATTTTAAGTCGACGAACTTCATTATCATCGTCGATTGATCCATAAGGTAATTGCCCTTGAGAACAGGCTTCCCACATTAAAATACCCATTGAATAGACATCTGATTTTTCAGAATAATTCGATAGGCCTGCACTGAGTAGAATTTCTGGTGCAGCATATCTTAGAGGAACAACAACTAGTGTTGTTGATGCTGTACTACCAACAACAGAATATAATGTGCTCGCACGTGTTAAACCAAAATCAGTCAACTTGACTAAATTTTCTTGTGGATTGGAATTATGAAGACGAAAAACTAATACATTACGACAAGCAAGATCGCCATGTACAATACCATAGTTAGCAAGATAAACCATTGCATCAATAATTTGTAAAAATATTTCTAATAGAACCAATTGTGATGGCTGAAATTCGTTTTCTTTTAAAAGATGTGCAAGATCACCTTCAGTTGCATATTCTTGTACAAGCATAAGAGCATTGAAATCGTTTTCCACCATACCATATGTATGAACAATATGAGGATGAGAACCAAGTTGAACATAATATGCTGCTTCTCGATTTGCTTTAGCTCCTTCGATTTTCAGTAGCACAACATCAGGACCAGGTTTTGATATCCATTCAGCTCTATAAATATATTTCCCTTGTGTTTGAAAGATAGGTCGTCTTCCTGCTTTTCTTATATCAATACCAAATTTGAAAAGAAAATGTTTTTGTAATGATGATGATTTGAATTCATCAACGAGTTGTTTGACAACATGATTTGGTCGTAATGAATCAATAGTCATGGGATCACCTGCGATTGGACTGGTACCAGCTTTTTGAAGCCATGCTATAATAGCATCTCGTTCGTATGTATGACCATCTTGACCAGTAACAGGTTCGCGAAACAATTCACAAGTGATAGGACATTTCAAAGTATCCGTATTCGAAGCGACAAACATTTTCCGTTGTCTATATGTTTAATTATATTTGCTAATCTACAAGAAAATAAATCACAACCGAGAAAAGGATAAAAAGCACACCATTTTTATTCCAACATGACTATTTGTATGCCTAAGAACGCAATCAAGTTGAATCAATAGCGTCGATATTTTGGATGCTGTCATGCTTCAATTTAAATGAAAGGCATGATTTTTCCTTCATTTCGACAGGAAGAAAAAAAAGTAATGTTTTTACTCTGCATAACATACGATTGTATAAACGATAGTAACGAATACCTCAATATCATAGATACGACGGGGTGTTTTATTATTTCGTTTTTTCTTGTTGGAAAGGCTTGTAAACAAAAAATATTTTTTATGTTCGAGTCGAATAAGAAATCTTGTTGCAGGGAGCATTATTATTTTGAGATAATTACGAATTTCATGTTATAAATTCGAGCTTCAATAAGCACTATCATCAAACAGATAACAAATTCAAATGCTGGCCTTAGCATCTTCCAAGTATAATCACTTAGAACCATATTTAAGAGCATTTTATTGTGACTCATATGTTGCTGAGCCTTGATTACATTTTCTTTTCGATTCTTCTTTCACATTCAAACTTCTATTTTTATAAGTAATTTTTCTCCCACAAGTCACATAGAACACGCATTGAAGTTCGCAACTATCAAATAAAATAAATATTAATGTGAATAGTTTACACCAATAAAATATTAGATGGAGAAGTAAGATATGATGATTAGCATCGATTTTTCAGTGAAAAATTTTCACTGATTGAAGACAAATATATTCCTCACTACAACAATGTATGAATAGAGTTCTTTTTGAACTTCATATTGAACGGTGACTTATTGCAACCTTATTTATTGAAAATAAGACATAAACACTGATGTTGGATTCAATTTAAGAATTCATATTTTTAATGAAGCTTTCGAACCAAAGAGTTCAAGAAATCGGCGTTATGGGCCCCGATGTTAGAAGTATGAAATTCAACCTTATTATTTTTCATTCAGATACGAAGTAAAATGGCGTAACACACCCTGTCCTATGAGACGCTACATACTGGAACTCAAAGAATTATCAACAGAGATAACGAGACACATTTTCATAACATTGACAAAATCATATACGTTATTGAAGCGTTCCGATTGTGATTCGAGAATCTTTCAGAATATTTTATCAACTAGAAATTTGTTACTAGTCCAGATGTTGCAAATTTGGGCATTTAATGTAGCCATGGAATTTTAAAATGAAGAAGTCTACGAGTATAATGATATTTTTTTATTTTGTATTAAAAATATAGTTATGAATTGGCTAGGTTTCGAACAATTATATCACTACCACTTCTTGATAAGTAATTACTTATAGCTAAATAATGCACCGCGAGCGTTCGTGACTTATTTTCCTCTCATTAATAAGTGAAAGAATCCTCTCTAAGATTTTCGATACTTCAGAGGAGGATTCTACTTCCGTTTGTTTATTTGTACATGCTTTGTGGTGTAACTGAAATACAACGAAATGTAGCCAATAAATAAGTTGTAAGTCACATCTTTTTTGAAAAAAAATTTAAAATAAATAATTTTTTCACCTAAACTTCTTCCGAAAAATATTCATTTCATCTATATGAAGAAAAAATGTATATAGAGCTCACTAGATGCCATGATGAAATTAAACGCCATATGATTCGTTCCTATGCTTGACCAATGGAGTCCTTCCAAGCTTCATGTCTACATTTTTCTTGTCCTTTTTACCATCGTTCATTTAGAAAAAAACAATAAGTATAGGTTTTTTTCATAAATGGCTGCTAAAGTAACAACAAATCAGTCCAGTATCAAGGATGATTCTGAACTGACAGCTAATGACCCTGAACTTCAAACAAATGTTAGTTCCAAGAAACGTTTATCAAGTTCATCAAATATGTTAGCAACATCGTCATTGATTTCGCCAACCGGTCTCACATCATTGATCAGTTTTATTGTATTAACTTGTGCTTATATATCAGGCTTTATGTCTCGATTATTTTCTGTCATTCGTTTTGAATCTATTATTCATGAATTCGATCCATGGTTTAATTATCGATCAACAGCGTATATGACAGAAAATGGATTTTATAATTTTCTTAATTGGTTCGATGAACTCGCTTGGTATCCACTCGGACGTATTGTTGGTGGAACTATTTATCCAGGTAGGAAAATTTTCTTTTCGCAAATTAGAAAAAAAAAATTTGGAATTTTTAAGGTTTGATGGTTACGAGTGGTGCCATTCATTGGTTTTTACATATGATCAATATTCCAATTCATATTCGTGAAATTTGTGTGTTTCTTGCACCATTTTTTAGCGGTTTGACAGCTCTAGCAACGTATTTATTTACGAAAGAACTTTGGTCAAGACGTGCTGGACTTTTTGCAGCTGCATTTATTGCTATTGCACCAGGTTACTCATCTCGTAGTGTAGCTGGATCGTATGATAATGAAGGTAAGAGAATATCAATTTATCGGTTTTGTTTTTAGGAAAAAAAATGTCTTTTGTATTTTTCTAAGGTATTGCCATCTTTGCTTTGATGTTTACCTACTTTCTTTGGATTCGTTCGGTTAAAACTGGTAGTGTCTTTTGGTCAAGTTGCACAGCTCTGTCATATTTCTACATGGTAAGTTCTTTGCTGAAGAATGCTATTCAATTCGATAATGTTTTCTCTGTATTACAGGTTTCAGCATGGGGTGGCTATGTATTTATAATCAATTTAATTCCTGTTCATGTGTTTGTTTTAATTGTTCTTCGTCGATATTCTCTTCGATTATATGTATCCTATTCGATATTTTATATTCTTGGTTTAATTCTTTCTATGCAAATTCCATTTGTTGGTTTTCAACCAGTTCGAACAAGTGAACATATGCTCGCCGCTGGCGTTTTCGCTCTTCTACAAGCATATGCATTCATCGATTATCTTTACACGAAAATTCCACGTGCTGCCGATATAAAACAATTATTTTTTGGTTTAATAATGATTGTGGGTTTAATCGTATTTGCTGCTGTGGTTGTATTGACATATGCTGGCTATATCGCGCCGTGGTCAGGACGATTTTATTCATTGTGGGATACGAATTATGCTAAAATACATATACCAATTATTGCGAGTGTCAGTGAACATCAGCCCACAACATGGACATCCTTTTTCTTTGGTAAAATTTAATTATAACGATTTCGAAATAAATAATTTTTTATTTTCGCTTAGATCTTCACCTTTTAATTTGTTTATTTCCTGTTGGTGCCTGGTTTTGTATTAAGGAATTGACTGATGAACGTGTTTTTATTGTTCTTTATGCTGTATTTGCATCGTATTTCGCTGGTGTTATGATTCGTTTGATGTTAACATTAACACCATGTGTTTGTGTACTTGGTAAACAGAAAAAGAAAATTATAAAATTATTTTTCGAAATTTATCATTTTTTTATTCTAGCTGCTATTGCTCTTTCAAAAACTCTTGATTATTATGCGGATACAGAAACATCAGATATGAGTACAAGTCCAGTTGTGCCTACAAATGATGGCGATGGTGATGATACTGAAAGTGATAAGAATAATCGAAATCTATATGATAAAGCCGGTAAGCCAAAACCAATTCCAGGACGCCGAGGTACTCCAGGTACTAACCCGGAAGCCGAAGAGGATACAAGCATTGTTTCATCAAATATAAAAACAGTTGTTGTTATTTGCAGTAAGTCAATTTGAGTTTTGATTATAGAAAAAAATTTTTGTTTGAACTATAATTTTAGTTGCGATGATGTTAATGCTTTTTGCTGTTCATTGTACATGGGTTACATCGAATGCGTATTCATCGCCTTCTATTGTTCTCGCGTCGTATAATAATGACGGTTCAAGATATATAATTGATGATTTTCGTGAAGCTTATTATTGGCTAAGAAAAAATACACCTGAAAGAGCTCGTGTTATGTCCTGGTGGGATTATGGCTATCAAATAGCTGGTATGGGTAATCGAACAGTCTTAGTCGATAATAATACATGGAACAATAGTCATATTGCGTTGGTCGGCAAAGCCATGTCAAGCAATGAAACAGAAGCGTACAAAATCATGACTATGCTTGATGTTGATTATGTTTTAGTCATTTTCGGTGGTATGATTGGATATTCAGGAGATGATATTAATAAATTTTTATGGATGGTTAGAATTGCTGAAGGTAAATATCTTCTTATAGGGATTTTAATATATTTCAAAAATTAAATTTTCATGAAAAACGGAGTTTCACAATTTTTTATTGCAGGTGAACATCCAAAGGATATTCGCGAACAAGATTATTTCACTGAAAATGGTGAATTTCGTGTTGATCGAACTGGCTCACCAGTATTACTCAATTGTTTAATGTATAAATTATGTTATTATCGTTTTGGTGAATTACAAACAGATTTTCGATCACCACCTGGGTAAGAAAAAAGAATTAAAAGTTTTCTAGTTCAAATTTTTGGTGTTTTAGTTTTGATCGCACTCGTCATGTTGAAATAGGAAATAAAAATTTTGATTTACAACATGTAGAAGAAGCCTATACAACTGAACATTGGATTGTCCGTATTTATAAAGTGAAAAAACTTGCTAATCGTTTACAAGCTAAAAATGCGCTCCGACAAGTACAACGACGTAAATCAATTTATTCAACAACAAAAAAAGTAGCGGGACAAGCGCGCAAACAAGGTGTTATTTTAAATAAGCCACAAATTAAGAAAGGCACAAAAATTTCGAAACGTAAAACATAATAATGGAAAAATACTGAATCAAAAATAAAAGACGATAATTATCATTAGTTATTTCGTTCAAGCTGTTTTCATTTTCTTTCTGTTCGTTGTCTTGTATTAATGATGAGCCGGTGACATTTTGTCATTCCAGGCATCCTTGTTGACTCATAGGACTATTCAGTTTTTTGTTTGTTTTGTTTCGGTATGTCTGCATTAGGTATCCATTTTGGTCGTTGTTTGTTTTTCATTTTTCATTCATTAAAAAAAGAAAACAGAAGAAATCACCAAATTTGGACAATTCGGTTGTATCGTTGCTTTTCTTCATCATGCTTCTTGTTTTTGTTTTTCATGGACTAACTTAAAAGAAATAAAATTCGTGGTCTTCTGTTCCATTTTATCGTTCCAGTGTTTAATACTTCGAATAATATTTAAACGAGCCAATGTTTAGCGTCGGATTTTTTACTCGACAACATACGCTTGATCAACCGAATAAATGGGCAAAATTTTCTCATAAAAACGATGCGTAAGGCTGGTTTTTCCATTTCCAATGAGTTTCAACTTTCTGTCAGATAGAAAATGTCTCATACATTGGCACACGACTTGCGACTGCCGGCTGAAAATTATATATTGTTTTGGAGTCGTTTGTTTACTTTAAAAATTTTATGGACCGTAAGAACACAAAAGGGAAGAAGAAAAAAGATTTTCTTAGTATAAATATAAACGATTATTATAATCGCAAAGTGTTTTGAGAATATTTAGCTCACGATGATACTTTTAGTAATGACGAATCGATTGCAAATGTTACTTGAAAGCAAATTCCAATATGATAGTATGTATCTGCATTCAGACATTCACTCTACTGCATAGTAAAAATGATTGTAGTTGTAAGCGAAGCAGCCAAGCAGCGAACAAAGTTTCTATTACAATTTTTTATTTATTTATGAACAATATACATAATTTATTTTTTTTATCATCAAGAGTCATCAGGTTGTGTACCAGTTTTTACAATCATATGGGCAGTGAGTTCATCAGCTAATCCATTAGCTATTTCAGCTGCTTGTTGCAACGCTAGATCACATTCTTCAAGGTCATATTGCGCACGCTGAGCATGTTCAAATAAATGACCAATGGCAACATGTTTCAGATATATTGCTAACCATTGAACGTCAAATATTTTTACAAACATCGGATAATTATATCTTCTTCTCATTTCTCGAATATTCGCTGCATTTGTACAATATATGTAAAATATTGTATTTTTAAATAAAGTAATTCGTGCGTTAACTATGGTATGTTCCGTGTGTGGTATGAAGAAACCAATGAAACGAACATGTTGGAGACTAGACATAACATGCAATATGCAACGATCTTTGTCGGTGAATCGCGAAAATAATTGTCTATCATAAAGCTGTTCGAATCGTTGATGTTGATCGGTAGGATCAAGTAGAACAAGAACATTTGTGTTTACTGCAGCCATATATCTAGAAATTAGACGAAAAGAGTATACATCTTGATTTATTAATTCTGTTTCTGTACTATATATCATTGGTGTATTTTAATTTCGGTTGTATTGTGTTACCTGTGCAATAAATTCTCCTATTGCAGTGGATACTTTTGAGTCTGAATGAATGAAAATAAGGAGTCATTTGAAAAATACCGTGCAGACAATCACATGCTCGTTGAATTTTATCGTATAGTATGCATATTTAGCTTGATTTACGCGTTACAAGCCACTTATAAAAAGAACTCTATCGTACGTTGTGCAGACGTCTGCGACTCAAAACCAGAGCATGCAAACTTTGTGTTTTGTTTTAAAAAATATCATTTGGTAAACACATTTTCTTCTTCTTCGCCGACTTCTTGCGTTCTCTTGTTGTTTCCATTGGTGACCTTGAGAATTTAATAATTCAAATCTTTTTATTTTTGGCGATGTTGAATGAAATCAGAGATATTTACGCATAAAAACACGATAACAACATGCGTCTGCATTAATATTTTACCATCATTCATAGTAGTGAAAGTGATTTATTTAAAAACAAAAAAAAAGCGTCAATCGTTTTTAATTGCAAAAGACATCACGAATAAAAACTATAAAAAACAAACATAATGCATTCGGGAGGACATAAAAGCAATTGAAGACAAATACAGTACACTTCTACTTGATTTTATATCATGTTTCCACGGGTTAATCAAAATCGACGACAAGCATTTTGTTTTCAGACTAGAGACCATAGCTCACTTAACAGTATAAAATAATTCACTAGGCTTTAGTTTTGGTTACGATAATTGTTTGTCTTCATTTTCATGAATAGTTGCTTCTTTAAATAATAAATATTTTTAAAAAAATCACTGGTCCATATATTTGCCATTTACTTCGATACATGCCGAAGCAGTCTCGTTAATGGTAATACAGTTAAATTCAATTTCGCACAAGCTATAATATTCTTTCATTTTTAAGAAATGAATGTTAAGTATAAGCAAATCAAGGAAATCCTTGAGAATTCTTAGGCTAGATTCAATTCCTTGAGGATATGGGAGTGGATATTTTTTCGAGTATATTCTACCATATATTGACCACGAAAATAACGACAATGCTCATTATGTGACCAACCTAGTAAATGAAATAGTTCTTTGAAAAGCTTCGATGTCAATCAATGTATGGGTGGAATATTTTTGATTGCAAAAAGAAACTTCAAACACTGCATATAGCTATTAATTTCTTGTGCCTCCATATTGATGATAGAGATTGAGTGATGATGCTGTTCGTTAATTAATAATAAATCGAGTTCGAAATCATAGTCGAAGGACAGGGTGGATGTACCAAAAAAATGGGCCCTATTTGAAAATTGTAAGAAAACTGTCACTAATTATATATAGTTAGACAGATAATTAACTCTACTATCTCAATATATCATACGTTCGCCGCTATGCCGACTTTTTCATAGTAATTCTCGAATACACATGGTAAGGGAATATTCGGAAAGAGACATAGAACTAAAAAAAAGGTATTTTTTCAACCCCGAAACCTATTCCAAATGACACCGGCGCCGTTTTTTATGCATAGCTCTCATTTTCTCCTTCGGAATTGCAAGGACATTTGGGTTTGATTTACTTGAGAAATAGATAGCTTTATTGCAGGAGAAATATAGTTACAGTAGCAAGTATATCTAGTTTGTTTCATAAATATGGATGCTATGCGAACAAATTCTAAGTTTTTCAGGAATGTTGAATTATATAGTTTGTCTTATTGATTTATGTAGGTATTTGATATTAGAGTTTTCAAATTCTGCAGTGATATGATAATATAGCCTTTCTAATTATCTTATTATGGGGCGGTATTTTGTTTTTGTTTATTGCGAAGCATTATTGGGCTTGTATTGCATGATATGTTAAGATAGAATACCGCGGAATTTAAATTACAATAACTATTTTGAATATAAGTAGATACTTTTTTTTATTGCGTCCGTTTATATCATGAGACTGAATAATTTTTGTATGCTTTTAAACATACGAACAGTATCTGAAATCTTTTTTACTTCAAAAAAGAATGAACCTGAATATTTCCTACACTCAAAGGATGGAATCTAGAAACGGAGGTATGTATAGAAAAGGTCGAAAAAAAAATGTCGAATAGTAAAAAGGCAGAAAAAAAACGCCGAACGCTGAAAAGATCGAATGCTAAGAAGATCGAAACAAAAAATGTCGAATGATAAAAACGACGAAAAAAAAAATGCCGAAAATGTTAAAATAAGATAGCTTGGATTATTCAAATATAAATAACTTTATTGATGCTTTAAAAATAGAACTCGTTTAAAATCAGATCTATATGAGTGTGGGTGAATATGGGAGTGAGGACGAGGGCGACTGTGCGGGTGAGCGTGAAGGTACGGGTGAGGATGTGGGTACTCTTAACGGCAATGGCAACGTCTGAACGCTCTAGATCATCGTGTCATACTCTAAAAAAAAGATAACTTCTATACCGAACTTAAAAAGGTTCTTCACTCGGGCAGATGAAACGAATCTTTTTGAAGGTTTCGAAAAAATTCTAAAAA